GCAGCCTGGGAGGGCGGGTCTCCCCCGCAGCAGGTCTGGGCTCCCCCGCTGCAGCAGGTCTGGGCTCCTCATCCCTCCCCATACCCCACTTCCCCGCGAAGGTGATTATTTTTCCTGCCCCGAGATGAGCCCAGTCTTCCCGGGCTTAGGTCTGTCCCCATTAAAAAGCTCACACGTCCCCCCCTGTAGAGTTGAGGAAACAGTTCTGGCAGTGCAGGGTCCAGTGTGGCTATGGACAGAGGGCAAGGCCACTCTCACCTGCAGGACTCGGTTTCCCCTTACTGTGTAATGGGGGCCGATAAGACAGTAGTTCCTAACCTGACAGTGCTGCAGAGGTCTCTCAGACCCCGCTCCAGGCCAACTGCCCATCCCCAAAAGGCCTCCCCCCAAGTAAGTGTCCCCACAGAGCTCAACTGAGACCTGGCAAAGGGACCTGCACTGACCCACTTTGTCTTGGGTTTTCTCCCTCAAGGCCCAGGCCCGGATCTCTCCACCCTCTAAGGAGGGGCAACTGTTGGGTGACCCTGTGTGAAAGCTTTTGAGGCTGAGTTGCCTCAGACCCTCTCCCCTCCATATATTTGATCTACTGGGAAGTGGTGGTGGTGGGAGGGGGGAGGGGGAGCGTTCAGAGTCAGGATATACCCCCCCCCCCTTCTCCCAGAAGCCTGGTGAGAAGGTGCAGCCACACCCTGGGGAGTCTGGCTCTGTTGGAAAGAAATGTAGACAAGAGAAGGGCTGGGCTGGGCTGGGCTGGGCCACCTCTTGGGTCCTTTCCCACAAAAACAAGCCAGTGGCTCTTGCATTATAATCAAGGTAACCTAACTAGGCTCTGGGAGGCACAGAGCTGGGCCAGCCCAGGGAGAGTCAGTGTGTCAGAAAAGAGAGGAGGCCGGGCCGCCCGTCTCCTACCTGTTTTTCCACAGGCACCACTTAGAGCCACCACAGGGCCTCTTTTCTGCCACAACATGCCATGTACATAGACCATGCAGCCAGCATGCGCGAGCACTCTGGGTGTCCACTGCATGTCCCTCTGAGCCGCAGTTTTACCACCGGCACAGGGGTGAGTTGACCTGACCGCTGGCCCCTATATCATCAATCCATGGCGGCCCTAGGTGGAGCAGAAGCAAGAGGGCTGGGGCAGAAGCAGGAGGATGGACCACTGCCCTAAGGTCACTTGGCCTGGATGCTTACATTGGGTTCATTTCTCTCTTCTCCCAAATCACACCAGCTGCTAGTGCCTGAAGCTGGGTAGGCCCCGAGTGATGACCATCCCCCCTCTATCCCTCTCCACACACACACACACACACACACACACACACACACACAGACACACACACACTCACACACACACACACACACACACACACACTGGTGAGGGCCAGCCCTGCTCCAGCCAGGTGTCTGGAGGAGGGGACTCTTCCTGCTGGAGGATGAAGGGCAGGCAACCAGGACTATGGCACAGTCTAGGGGTGGGGGTAGCCCCTGGCCTCTCAGCCCCCTGGCCCAGCTACCTGCTCCCAAGCTGTGCAGAGCCCAGCTCTGACCCCGAGGACCAGCTCCTGGTAGCTCTGTGGCTCAGCAGGTAGGTCACTAGGCCCCCTCATGCTGAGATGGATCTGGAAAGCAAGTTTGGCATTGAGGTTGCTAGGACTGGACAGCCAGATGTGGTCCCACCTCCCACATCAACCCCCTCAGCCCTGCCAGTCTAGCCACCGCCCTGGGAACACACTCTCTCCCATCTCAGCCTGAGAAAACCATATCCTCCCAAGAGAGAAAAAATTGAGGGCAGGCTAGGGAGGGGTGGTGGGCAGAGAGGGGTGGTGGCCTGAGGTCTCCCCTGCACCGCCCTCAGGAAGCCAGGGCAGCTCCAGGCCATGGGAACATCTTCCCTCTTCCCTCGGGGGCATCAACCCTGTCGGTGCCCTCTGGGCTGAAGGCCCAAGCCTTTTCCGGCCTGGGAGGGCTGGATAGAGCTCCTGGCGCCTGAGGAGCAACCTTGGGGTCATTGGCTGTTGCTATCCCCATGTGGCCCAGCTAGGCTGTTCTGCTCCTCCTTGAGTTTGGTGGTACAGGCTTCACCTTTGGAGGACTCAGCAGGACCAGAGAAGGGAGGCTGTGCATGTGCTTGGGGAAACATAGGAGCAGCTCCAGCTACCAAGTTTAGGAGAGCAACCCTGCTGTCCTGCCCAGGAAACTGACGAGCCCACGGGGAGGGAGGGCCTCCAGCGTCACTGTGAGCAACCCAGGGGAATATTCAGGCCTCCGCCCCCCCGAGGCCACTGAGCCTGGTGGTGAGGAGGGGGCACATTGGGAGGCCGCAGGTGCCCACACAGGGACCCTACTCCCAGCTCTCCCTAAGTTCCCGGGATAGCTCCACCCTGCCTGTCCCCCACCCCATGCCTCAGTTAATAATGGGAACCAAAATAATCTTGCCAAACTCCAGGACTCCCACATTTCTTTGTCCTGCCCCTACCATCCTGTGAGCAAGGTGCTTTGGTAACTAGTCTGCAGGTTAGGCACTGGGGCACAGAGGGTGGCCGGAGGAGTCCAGGCGGCCTGACTCCTAACCATGAACCTCTAACTGTTATCAGGGTCTGGCCACAAGGCAGACAGGGTTCCACACCTCTTGGGGGCTGATCAGGGGCGAGATACCAGTCTGGGGTAACAGCCAGTGGAGACACTGAACTCCCAGGTTATCCTCTGGGCGGCAGGCAGAGCCCAAGGCCTTGCTGGAGCCTTCCCCTGGGGCTGACCCGCCGATGCATGCTATGAAGAACACCATGGCAGGGAGACTCCAGGGCTGGCAAAACCCTCCGTGTCACCATGCTGACCACTGGGGTGCCCAGAATAGACCCTGTTCAGCTGCCTGGGTTCTGGGGGCTCACTCAAGTGGAGGGTGCTGTTCTGAGGGTCAGGATGTGTCCTGCCCATTCATTGCATGGTGCCCTGCACACCCACCTGGGAGTTCTAGTCCCTTGGGGATCCCACTTTTCTCCTGTCCCCCAGAGACCCCAGGAGGTCTTGCCATAAGCCAATGCATGCTGGCATGTGGCCCACCAGGACCCCTTGATTGTTTTCCCACTTGACCATTTCACCCTTCCTGAGTCACTGGGCTGTTACCTGCAAGACCAGCTGTTGCCAGGCCATCGGCAGGGGTTGCCCACTGCCCACGCCACCACTGCCCACACCAGGCTGCTGGGCACGCTCCAGCTGCAAGGCAACATGGCGCCGCTCCTGCTCTAGGGCCCGTGTCAGCCGCTCAAAGCGAGCCTCCTGCTCCTTCACCGAGGCCAGGATGCTGGCAGCCGAGTGCACGTTGCAGTCCTCCATGACCAGGACGCCTGCTGGCTGCAGGCAAAGCAGAGCAAGGTCAAGGCAGGGCCAAGGCAGAGGGCACCATGGGCCCCCTGCCGGCCCCACTCACAAATCACACAACTCACTCCCACACTGGAGCATCCAGCCCTCAAGAGAGAAGCCACATTGATTAAATTCTAAATTAAAAGCCATGAATCTGAGGCTGGCCGGAAGCAGCCGGCTCCTTCCCTGTGGGGTGTGGGGCTCTGCTCCCCGGCAGGTGCAGCAGAACCACGGACTATGGGGGTCCTAGAGCCCACTGGGAAGGGAAGGGCCAGAAGAGCTTGGTGTGACCAGCACTCAGACCTCCTAGGCCCTCTGCTGCCCACAGCACATGCCAACTCACCCCATCTTATGGGGCCAGCCTAGGCTCCTCTCACTGAGGTGAATGCTGGGGCCCAGAGAGGTGGGGGGACCTGTCCACAGCCACACATGTGGCAGAGCCAATGGACCAGTGAGCAGGGCGTCAGGTGTCACTCCCCAGCCACCAGGTGCACCCGGGACCCCTAGGCAGGCACAGGGGTGACACTGGCCCTCAGACCAGCGGTCTGGCCTCCACTCACAGCTACACTGGCTGGAACAGGGTGATGTCTACCCACACGGCCGAGTGAAAGCCGAGTACAGACAGTGGTTGTGCTTCTGTGCCTGAAAGTGGCCCATGAATACTGGATCCGGAGGAGGTTGAGGGTAGGGGGCCCAGGATACCCAGACCCAGTGTGCCAGGAGGGCCAGGCCTGCCTAGGTCCAGGTCCAGTGCTTCCCCTGCAGGTCCCAGGGGATAGGGAAGGGGTGGCCGAGCTTGGAAGCTGCAGTGACAAGCCAGAACTGTTCCTCACCGCTTGCTCCCTGGCTGCTCAGTGTGTTTGCTTTTCATGGGCAAAAAGATGCAAGAGGAGCATTTGGAGTTCACACCCAGCCGCATAGGAGTGCATGGGGTGCAGGCCATGTGGCCACACTGCCAGGCACGTAGTGTGCCCCATGGAGCCAGTGCTGCTCAGGGCATCTGCCTGATCCGACCCGCACAGGCCACTGAGGCTGCCTCCGCTCATGTAGGGCCTGAGCTTAGAGACACAGCACAGTGGGCAGCACGTGAGAAGGTCCAGCTGCAGGGGCAGAGCCCTGAGAGGAAGGTCAGTGCTAGGCTCGCCCCCCTGATGCTGGCTGGGCCAGGGACACTGTGGGGATGGGGGTGCACCTCCAGTTTAAAGAACACCGCAGAGTCCAGTCCACTTCGACAACTGCGGAAACTGAGGCCCAGAGAGGAAAAGAGGCCAGCATAGGTCCCAGAAGCTGCTTTTCATTTCCCCAGAACCAGTCACACAAATAAACTGTCAGTGTGACCTGGAGGAGGGGTGATGAGGTCAGCACAGGCGGAAGAATGAACTGAACTCCTGCAGGGAGAGGTCCTGGCACTCACAGGGAGGTGGGGGTGCAGGGGGCCAGCAGGGGATAAGGGACAAACAGCCCGGCACGGACACAGGCCCCTGTGCAGGGGTCACAGACACACCTACATACGGTGGCCGCCAGGCCCTGTGCACAGATCAACTAAACCTGGTTGCCCAGGTGGGTGTTATGGGCACTTCCTCCCTCGAGGGCAGCATAGGGCAGGATGGAGGTCAAAGTAGGTCAGCCTGCAGCCAGCCTTGATTGTAGCTGGGCGGCCTCAGCTGAGCCTCATGCCCTGGCAACACAGCTGAGACCAGGGCCACATGTAGGAGGGCAAGATGTGTCTGGGAGGGGATGGTCAGGACCTATGGGACGGCCAGGAGGTGGCTGCCCTCCCTCCTCGTGCAGAGACATGGGTTCTCGCCTAACCTCAGGCTTCCCCTCCCCCCAGACCCTGAGACAGCAGGCAAGGGGGCAGCCTTAGCCTCCAGCTTCCCTGCCCTGAGCCCTCCGGCAGGCCCCAGCTCTGAAGGGGGCCCACTTGCTCTGGCTGGGAGCTGGCCAGAGGCCCAGAATTCTGAGCCTATAGTGAGAAGGTGGCCGAACCCCACACTGACCTTTCCATTACCCAGTTCTCTCAGCTGGAGCTAAATGGCTGTGCGTCTCCCAGGTGACACTCCCAAATGCCAGCCAGCTTGAGGGTAGAGTGCCCCACAGCTGCCTACTGGAGAACAGAGACCCCAGGTCTGGGGCCCATGCCCCCTGCTCCAGTCTGAGGGTACACCCCGCTGTCTGCCTGTGAGGGAGGGCACTGAAGCTTGCAGGCTGCAGCCTTGTCACCTTGGTGGCCGCAAGAGCAGCCCTGGCATGCGCAGGAGGCAGACTGCTGGCTGGGGACATCTAGGAAGCGGGGAAGACACAGGCCCACTCTCCTGACATGGGAGCTTCCCTAAGTCCCAGGTGGGCACAGGTGACCCAGGCTAGCACCCCAGAGGTGGCTTTTCTGATGGTAACTCAAAACGCTATTTTTATATTAAAACAATAAATATGTAATGACATGGAAGGCAAAATGGGCATGAATTTTTAACATCAACCATGAGACTTTCCCAGCTGTTTTCCCAGCTGGCCCTGGGGCGGAGCTCCGATCCTGGGTAGTGGTAGTCACTAGACTCACTCCTGCTGGGGCCCGGGAGGCTCTGGAGGTAGGCAGGGAGGTGCCACCCTGACTGACATCATCACAGCCATTCACCTGGGAAGGGCCCTGCACTGCCTGCAGGGCAGACCTATCATGATCCCCACCCTGACCCCAGGCACCACCTTTGCATGTGTCTTTTCACCACACACGCCCGCCTGCCCATGGAGGTGATGTAGCAAGAAGACAGGAACAAACAGGCCTGTCTCAGGGCAGGAGTGGGGGTGCTCGACTGGGGAAAGCCTGCCCAGGCTTGGACACCCAGGAGTAACCCCCGGTGAATGGACTGGTGGGTGGGTGGAGGGATGGAAGTACAGAGGCTGGAAGGAAGGGGAAATGAATGAACGAGTAAACGGATGGGTGGATTGCAGAATAAGTAGGTCATTGTATGAGAGGATGGGGGTAGATGAGTGGATGGGTGGGTGGGTGGCTACATGGGCAGTTGGTGAGTGGGTAAAAGGATGGGTGGAGGCTGGCTGGAGGAATGAGTAAATGGACAGTTGGGCAGATGAATGAGTGGGCAGGTGGGCAAGAATGAGGCTCTGAAACACCGCTGGGAGGAGGGGCCTTGTCCCCGAGCCTTCTGGGGCACAACTGTGGACACTGCACTCCATCAGGAAACCAAAGGCACCATCAGAGGAACTGGGGGGAGATGCTGAACCTTCCCCCAAAACCTAAGCCCACATTTTTGTTGTTGTTAATTCTCACCAGAGGACTTTTTTTCCCATTGCTTTTTTAGAGAAACTGGAAGGGTTAGGGGGAGGGAGGGAGGGAGGAAAGGAAGGAAGAAGAAGGAGGGAGGGAGTGGGAGAGAGAGAGAGACAATGTGGGAGAGACACATCGATTAGTTGCCTCCCAACTGGAGGTGGGGTGCGTGCGAACCACAACCCAGATACGTGACCTTGACCGGGAATTGAACCCCCGACCTTTTGGTGCGCAGGCCAACGCTCTAACCACTGAGCGCCACCGGTCAGGGCCTAAGCCCACATTTGCCGTCTTCCTGCTGACCCAGACATTCCTGCTCACAGGGAGTACAGCCAAACCCTGCTCCAGAAAATCAAATTATGGGGCCTGAGTCCAATCTGGGTTGAGGAATTAGAGGAATTTCCTAAGGGTCAGGCCAGCAGGGGGAGGCAGGCAGGAGGCTTGGGCTCTGATCCTGACCTCTCACCGGCCATCTGTCAGTCTACCGCCAGCTGTCCCTGTCCCCCATGAGCGGAGAGAGGGGACTCAACACCGGTTGAACCTCCTTCCCCACCCCACTCCCCACCCATCTGGATGGGGAGGAAGGGTGCGAGCAGGAGCAGAAGAGCAAAACCCAGGTCTGGTGGTGCCGAAGCTCTCTCTGCCAGGGGGCCCCGTGTCCCCTCAGCACTGCCAGCAGGGAGCCTTGCTCCCTACACCTCTGGCCTTGTGGGAGCCCACCTTTACCGTCGCCCCCTGCTGTGGTTACAGCCACAGGGATAGCTTCTGGTCAGCCTACAGGGACGCACCCTGTACCAAGGCTGGGGACAAGGTTGGAACAGGAGGCGGGGCATGGGGTTCGCAAGGGGGGAGTCCTCCTCTGTCATTCCATCCATCCCAGCCAGGACCACTGGGTCACTCATAGTCAGTGCAGGGCCTGGGCTGCCTGGGCAGGAGGAGGCTGTTCTCAACCTTAAAGAAACTGCCAAGGAAAAGACAAAGCAGCTTAATTTGGGGAGAATGAGACATTGCTGTACATCAAAAAGCCATGTATTTTGGTTATAGGTTGGTTTTTTTTTAAAGCGACACCATTCACAGTAGCACACGTAGAGAACGTTACAGACGAAAGACAATGACTTTACTTCTAGACGGTGACCTCACGGTGGGAGCTGGTGAGGGTACGCGGAGATGCGTCACGCTAGTCTCTACTTCTGTGCGTTTGTAATTTTCCACACTGGAAAGTAGGAGAAAAAGACATAAAGATAACCCAAAGCCAATCGACACATTGGGATCAAGTCCTTGTGGTAAAGTATATCCTTTGTCTATAAAGTGCTCTTATAAATCAATAGAAAAACCAAAACCCCAAAGTAGGTAAAGGTCATAAACAAGGGATGTGGCCTGAGAGAGAAGATGCAGTGAGAGTGGAAGCCACTGTGTGCCTAAGCGCGTCCACAGAAAAAAGACGGGAAGGAATTCGTCTCTGGCCTCAGCAGCTCCAGGCCCCTTGGTCCTGAGCCAATGTTCTAGGAAGGAACACAAGCTTCTGCTACCATCAGACCCTAAGAAAGAATTGGGAAAAACAGACATCCGCCCCAGCTGGCAGCCAAGTGGGTGAAGAAGCTGGGGAACTGAGCTCCCCATTGGCCTGGGCAGTGCCTGCCCAAGGGAAGCAGTAGGATGTTCACGGAGCTGGCAGAGCCCATATGGCATTCATCCCGGAAATTAGATTCCC